TCGGAAATCCTCGCCCGTTGTATGTGGGTCTCATAGGCCACTCATAGTGTGCCGGGCTAAAGTGTCAACTTCTCTCCTAGCCACTGCTCCTAGCAACAAGGTATAGTTCCTGCGTTCCCTACGAAAACCTCGGTTACCCACTTACCGGAAGGCATGCCCTAATTCTGTTGCGTCCAGACTTTCCAGGCGGAGAACTCTCCAGGACATGGGTACCCCACTTCCGTTGGAAAACACGTACGTTGCATGGAGTTGAGTCTCCTTTGGTTTGTCTTCCTTTATTCAGTTCAACGCTAGTCACTTTTTTCTCGCATTTGACGGTCTTGTAGCGCCGAAAGACCAGAAGCACCGCAGCAGCTGCAACTGCCACGAACAGAACCCCTACGAGGGGCTGCCTCCTGCGCCCCTGGTAATAGCTCAGGCCATTGTCTACGAAATTGACCTCAGAGGTAAGACCAGGAGCGACCAGAGCTTCAGCACTGTCAGTCGTCTCCACAGGAAGAACCACCGAGGCAGCAAAAAGCGGAGTGAACACAAGCATCTCCCAGGCCAAATGCGCTAACTACCGCGCCTGGAATATGATTATGGAAAAGAGTTCTTCGAATTTCAATGTATATATGGAGAATATGCTTTGTGTGAGCTTCAGGTCGCTCATCCCAGACATGCGCAACTCTGCAGTGGCCCAGAGCTGGGTAACGCTTCTGCAATTGCCTGTTCTGCAGGACATCACTACACACCTTCTCCTGCATAGATGAAGATCGACATTTCTATTCGGGTAAATAACTGCCCTAGATAATGAAACTAAAGCCGATGCTTGAAGTGCCTCACGGATTACGGTCACTTGCCAGTAGAGCGATTGGAATTCGGGCGGATGCAACGAAGAAAATTGGTGACAGCAGAAAAGAGTTGTCCTACAGTCCGCCACATCGGAGCCTGCGAATTTTCAGTGTCCGGGCTGCACGGAGCTCTGCAGTTGCAATTTAGCTCTGTCTAGAGTTGGCAGGTTTCTCCAAGTCATGAGCACCTCGATCAGAGCACTGGACACTGGACTGGACTGTGATGCTTAAGCCGTTCTCGTGGTTTGACTTTACTGCCTAGTGCTCACGTACTCCGCAGAAACATAAATAAGTCCAAACGATATGGCTTCTGCACGTGCTGCTTTGTGAGATGTTGGGGTCTGTAACGGGTGGTCTTCTGTCTTCTTCGACG